TGGAAATGTCCTGGAATTTCATCTCACTTAAGGTGTACGAACCCTGTAAAGAGCGCGAACGGTAGTGTGATGTAAAATTACTCATGCTAGAACTTTTCATAAAAGTGACCCGAAAAACAGCGCTAACTCGGTAACGCGTGGCCTGATTTTAACGAAACTTGTTTTATTCCGTTTCTATTCTCATTTCATTACAAAGATGGCGCTATTGTGCGCCGTTTTTTTGCCTTATTTAATTACAGACAAGCAAACAAACAAACAAACAATCTCAGAGTTTTAGTAGTATATATAGATACGGGTTTCTATTCCCCTCCGTAGACAGAACACAGATAGCCTGTTGTGTAACTTTGTAATTAACGAGAAACAAATAGATATCAAAATAAGAGAATATTTATACAGCATGCTTTGCCCTCTCAGTGGTAAGTCTGAAGACTTATAACGCTAAAATCTGGGATTCGATAATTGTGGCGGGCACAATACAGATAGCCCATTATTTAGCTTTGTGGTTAATAACAAAACAAACAGTAACGTTCTCTCAGTTAATTATTATGCAAATTAAATACCTCATGGACTATAGTGAAAACACAAATAAAACTAAAGTTCAACCATTATAATGATTCTACTATAATTCAAGTTTTTTTAGGTTGGACTGATTTCTGAGAGTCGAATATAAGTCTTAGAAAACTATTATTGAACGAATTAGTATTAAATACAGAGCGTCTCAAAGGTCCGCGTTCACAAGAAGAGTTCACTATTAACATATATTTTAATAATTGTTAAATTGCATCCCATCAACTTTGCATACACATATTATAGATATTTGCATACCATTTTCTCGTAATCTGTATAGTCACCCACTATATATTTTCATAAAAATATTAATTATACACAAAATAAAATGGCCACGAGTACGGACTTTGAGATACCCTGTAAATTAGTTTCCTATTCACAATCCTAGAAAGGTAACAGAAACTTCATAAGCAGGTTACGCATTTTGATGTGGAATCGAAAGAACTCAAAATTTATTTACTTTTTGAACTGTCTTACAGACTGATTAATAGATCATACCCTGGGTGTGTCCAGGAGTACTTCTGACTTCCAACTCATGTCTACCAATCTTGATCTTTTCCCCGTGCTCTACGTGAATGTCAGCTTTAGCACTGGACACCTTGGAGATGACACTTTGACAGGAAGGAATCCTCTGCTTTATCTTCCCAGTGCCAGTGATATGATCAGCGTGGACATGAGTGTTAGCTGTTCGAACAAAGAAATATCTTGTAAAGAAACCTTCGTTGTAGAGAAGAAAAAGATGAAACTACAATGTTAAAATACACGACGTCCTTTGTTTAACTGGAATAGAAGAGATAGGAATTACGAAATCATTGGGCTAAATGAGTTTAAGTCCTAGTTTTTAAGTCAATTTTATATCCAGAAGGGAAGAGATTAAGGGAAGAACCCACCAGCATAGACAAGCTTAAGTCCTAGTTCCTCCACCAATTTGACGTCTCTGTCAACTAGTTCCAAGACTGGGTCAATGAAAATAGCCTCTTTAGTGGTCTTGTCAGCCAACAGGTAGGTGTATGTGCAGCTGGTTCGATCGAACAGCTGGTGAAGATATTGACATTTTTTAGAGACATGTCTTGTTTTCTCTTGATGAAGATTTGAATATTATGTTAAACTTAGTATCTTATAATATGGAATATTGGGAGTATTACCATCCCCTCTACAATTTTTATATGGTTAAATTTAAACATTTTACATATTTCTGATTAACATTAACACTAGTAATGAACTTATTTTTCAGTTGATGTAAATCTAATATCTTGCTTCATGCCGTTTCAAAATTATCTTGTTTGTTATAAAGACTGGAGAGATATTTATGGGAATCGACAATGTTACTTAGCTAAATCCATGTAAAAAATGCTACAACATAGTGACTATCGTTTTTAATTATACCAGTTTTTACTTGATTTGTTTTATTTTAATTGTTGTGAACGTTGTATCTGTTTTAAATCTGCTAAAGTTGAACCTGGTGAGATTGATTAGGATTACGGCCGAAAATATTAAAAAAGACGAGGTTACCCAATAGACGAATCAATGCATTCTAGTCATTATAAGCTTTTGTTTCGTGACATTGTGTGAAATTAGTTACATTAATTACTGGCTAAATATTTGTTATATTCTAAATAGATAGCTGTTATAATATTGTTATAATAACATGTAGGCAAACAACTATTTAGTATGTATTATAGTATGTTCCACCATCAATGAAATTATTCTTTTGCTTAGAAATCGTTGTTTGCCTACCTATTATTATAGGCCAGGTGGTTAGGGGTGCTTGACTCGCAATCTGAGGGTCGTGGGCTCGAATCCCCGTCTCACCAAACATGCTCGCCCCATATAGCCGTGGGGACGTTATAATGTGACGGTCAATCCCACTATTCGTTGGTAAAAGAGTAACCCAAGAGTCGGCGATGGGTGGTGATGACTTGCTACCTTTCACTGCTAAATTAGGGACGGCTAGCGCAGATAACCCTCGTTTAGCTTTGCACGAAATTATTATATTAGCATAACGTGCTTCCTTAGTTATGTTACTGTTTATTATTGATAGAATACACTGTACGACTGTGCTTCCTTAGTTATGTTACTGTTTATTATTGGTAGAATACACTGTACGACTGTGCTTCCTTACTCATGTTACTGTTAATTATTGGTAGAATGCACTGTACGACTGTGCTTCTTTACTCATTAATTATTGGTAGAATGCATTGTACGACCGTGCTTCCTTACTCATTAATTATTGGTAGAATACACTGTACGACTGTGCTTCCTTACTCATTAATTATTGGTAGAATACACTGTACGAAATGAGTAAGGAAGCACAGTCGTACAGTGTATTCTACCAATAATTTTGTGCTTCCTTACTCATGTTACTGTTAAATATTGGTAGAATACACTGAACGACTATCTTCCTTACTCATTAATTATTGGTACAATACACTGTATGACTGTGCTTCCTTACTCATTAATCATTGGTAGAATACACTGTACGACTGTGCTTCCTTACTTATCAATTATTGGTAGAATACACTGTACGACTGTGCTTCCTTACTTATTAATTATTGGTAGAATACACTGTACGACTGTGCTTCTTTATTTATTAATTATTGGTAGAATACACTGTACGACTGTGCTTCCTTATTTATTAATTATTGGTAGAATACATTGTACGAATTTGCTTCCTTACTCACATTACTGTTAGTTATTGATAGAATACACTGCACGACTGTGCTTCCTTACTTATTAATTATTGGTAGAATACACTGTACGAATGTGCTTCCTTACACATATTACTATTAGTTATTGATAGAATACACTGTACGACTGTGCTTCCTTACTTATTAATTATTGGTAGAATACACTGTACGACTGTGCTTCCTTACTCATGTTACTGTTGATTATTGGTAGAATACACTGTACGACTGTGCTTCCTTACTCATATTACTGTTAGTTATTGATAGAATACACTGTACGACTGTGCTTCCTTACTCATGTTACTGTTGATTATTGGTAGAATACACTGTACGACTATTTTCCATAATCATTAATTATTGGTAGAATACATTGTACGACTGTGCTTCCTTACTCATTTATTATTGGTAGAATACACTGTACGACTGTGCTTTCTTACTCACGTTACTGTTAATTAATGGTAGAATACACTGTACGACTGTGCTTCCTTACTCATGTTACTGTTACTAAACAAAAATTATTTAGAATCACACAATGCCAACATCATTTAGAAAATAACGTGCAATAATTGCCCAGAATTCTACATCGGAGAAACATGAATAAAATTGGAAACCAGATTGACAGAACACAATTAAAAACCGTTCCATGTTTTCCACCATTGCAACTGAAAAAACAAACATAGTATATCTATTAAAAACACAGTAATTTTAAACAAAGAACCAAACATAAACAAGCGCCAAATCCTCTTTGTTCCATACTGTATATATATATATATATATATAT